AGTCTAGGGTATCTTATATACCAGGGAGTTCAAACCCCAATTTTGTGGTTTCATGAGAGATATTAACAAGGGATACAACCAACATTGTAAGAGAAAATGCACTTGGGTTCACCATAATTTAAAAAGTAGATTGTGTAGGATTTTGAACTGGGGGAGGGTGGCAGGGAAGAAGAAGAGTGGTGATAGCCAACAGCCAGTACCTGAGCCCTTGTTCCAACATGGGAGTGGGGAGTCCCACTGATGACAGAGCAGGAGCCAGAAAGTTAGGATCTAAGGGCAATCCCACCAGGCCTGGGAAAAGGAAGGTGGAAGCTGCTCGGGGGTGGTCCCTTCTTTTCTGGATCCACAGGCATGTCTGTCTGGGACTAGTGAACGAACCACTTTCAATCAGCTCACTTTTTCAGATGTCTCAACCACTGCTTCCTGCACAATTGATTAGGACCAACTGAGCCATCAGTCCGATCTTGCATTAAAGTAGGTTGATGGACTTTTTCTCTACCTCTGTCTCGGCAGCCCACACAGTGGGTAAACACTTGGTGTCTTAGCACCAAATGAATGTGCTCTGAGCCTGGGGTGATGGTGGGGGCAGGAGAGAAGAGATGTGTGTGCCTTCTGGGTGTGGGGTGGGGTGCCGAGGACCTAAGACAGGGAGTAACAGACCTAGAAGAATTGTCAAAGTGCAGATATTCAAAAAGTATTTGCATAGCTGACCTACTAAATCAGGAATGAACTCTGCTAGCCTCAGGTGTCAAAGGTAACACACGCTTCATAGGCTTATGTCCCATAGTTTACAACACATCTTGCCCACAGCAGATGAGCAGGGCCATCTGTTGCATGAATGCATATGCATATAGCTGCAGGTATCAGGAGGAAAACTGACCACAGGACCTGGGCACATGCCATCCTCCTCTCACCTAACTACCTTCTCCCTTCAGCTGTCTTTGCTTCTTCCTGTCTTCCTGGTGTCCTTCCCCTAACGCCTTCTTAAATGCTTGCACAATCTCACTGCTTCCCCTACATGCATTTTATTTTCTTTTTACTCAAAGAAAATGGAAAACATGCAAAGCTAAGACCTTCAGTCCAAGGCAAGATTTTTTTTCTCTCCTTCCAATTTTTATATTTAAAGTAAAAAACAAGTTGACTCTCTGTTTAGATCAGCTTAGCATAGTGAGCCCACAGTGCTTCAAAAAAATGGAATGCTTGGGGGTGATTTGACAATTCATTGACCAGGAACCTAGGAGGAGAACTCACTGAATCAGTCTACAAAGTGGCCCTGCTACTGGAGTTCTGTGGTCTGTGAGGACAAAACAGATCTCTGGGCTTGTAATTAATTTCTGGAGGAGAAAAAGTGGAACAAAGTGTTCCCTTGATTCCTCTAGAAATAAGCTGAGGAACCCAAAGATGAAGGACCATTTTGATGGCTGCAGAGGTCACATCCTGATACTTCCCCATCTTCCTAATAACATCTGCTCAGACCTTCCTTCCCACCACCCTAAAGACTTCCCCCAACCCCACCCCAAATACCCCATCCCCTCCATCCCTGCACAGGCAGTGGGAGGACCCAGGGCAACGCTGACCTCCCCAGTCGCATCTCCAGCATCCTGATGGCTTCCTGACCCATCTGTTCATTAGCCATTTTTAAAAAGCCACACAGTTCCTCCCTCAGAATGATTCTCAGCTCCAAGACACTAATGAATCAACTCAGGGTGAGGAGGAAGGCACAGGTTTAAACCTGAGACGGCTCGTGTGGAATTGAATGGCAAAGGGAGCCAGTCTCCCAGGATTGCAGAAACCCCTCATAAAAATTAAAATCAGTGGATGCCTGCAGTAAACCAGCTTAAGCCTCAGCCTGGGCAGGGGAAAAGGAGAGGTAAGGTAGAGATTCTGGTGGGAAAAGGGGTTCTGGTTGGGAAAGATGGGTGCCCAAACTTCAGTGGCTCTCCAGACCCAGGGCCCAGCTCTGCCTTCGGGCCCTCTGGCCAGCTCTCTCTCCTCCTGGGGCCCAGCTGTGTATCTTTGCTTATTGGTTATAATCACCAGAAGGCTAAGGGTTTACCCCAGAGATGCAGAATTCTCAGAAGGAAACCGGGGGGCTAGGTCTAGTCACTTCTAGAAAAAAATCAAATCTGTTCTTCCCCTCAGGGGCTGGCCAGGTGAGAGGCAGCACTGACGAAGGAAGGTGTGTGCATGGCGGCAGGTGCAGGGTCTTTGTGGGGGTGAGGGGGAGGGGCAGCCTGGGACCTCAGCAGGCTGATGGCTGATCACTCCTTCTAACACTCCCACAAACAGCCCTTTCAATGAAGCTGTTCTCCTGCATATTCAGCCCCTGCTACCATCTTCAGGGAGGTACACACTGGAACAAACTCTTAGCCTTTTCAGAAAGGAAATGGTCTTTGCCGAACTATTTCAAGGAATATGTAACCAAACGCATATCCAGCTTCCTCCACCAACCTCTGAAGAGTACACATCCTTTCTTTTCCTAGGGAAAACTCATTATGATGTGAATACTTACCTCCTGCTCCTTTTCCCTACCCTGATTCCCCAACAACACAATCTGCACAGAAAACACCCCAGAATGGCAAACGGTGACCTCTAAGGTGTGAGCAAAGTGAGCTGAGTTGTGGGCACATGCCTTTCCTGCAATGTGCACACTCACCCTGGCACACCTGGGAGGGGACAGGTGGAGATGGGATGCTGCTCTGCCTGAGCTACTCAGCATAGACAACACCGGCGTCCCCAGCCTGCCCAAGGTCACTCACGAGTGTCCCAGGTGGAGCGCTCCTGTCCCATCCCTCCCCGCAAACACGGAGACCAGCACTGGCCCCTACCTAACAAGCACCAATATGATGGTTTCCGAGGCCCTGAGCGGGCAGGGCTGCCACTCAGAGGAAGAGGTGCTGGGAACTGCACTGAATCGGGAGGGCAAGCTGAGGGTAAAACACCCCACACCTCACATAACAGTCTGAGGACTGGAACTCATCGCCCTTCCATGGTTCCCTCTCCTCCCCAACCCCAGAGAAAACAGCTCTCTGGTGGTGCCACCATTGAGCCACATGCCCATGCACAAATTAGTCGCCCTATTTGAGGGTTGGGAAAGGGGAGAAACACCAAGAGGGATGGTGACATCTCCAGCGTCACAAGCCAGTAGAACCCAGGCCAACACTACATCTCCTCCCAGCTGACGATGGATAAACTTAGTAGGAGGTGGCAAGGTTAGGGCAAGAGGCAGCTCTAAGAAGACAGAGAACAAAGGCTCACAGAAGAAAGAACCCCAAGAAAGGTTTATGGGGATCCACCAGCATGAGGTCACAGCCAGAGGAAGATGTGATAAGAGGCCAGGACCACAGAAGGTACAAGGAGACAGCCCTCCTGGCCTGGAGGCAGAGGTGGAGGGATGACAAGGACCGGGTACATCAGCCTCAGGAAGGGGCTGCCCACAGGTAGTTCCTTCTCTGCTTCCCGAGGTGAGCCAAGACAGAGAACCCTTCATCAGTCAAGACCCAGAGGGGGAGTCTTGTCCTTTTCTTGATCTCCCTCCCACCTGCCCTCTGCATTTGACAGGCCTGACCACAGACCATTTGTCACAATTCCTCCATCCATTCCCAGCACCAGGCCAGGCCAGGTACAGACTCACCACCTGGGAGACAGGACAGGGGTGGCATGGAGGGCAAGCACCTCAATCCCAACAGCCATGTTTGTCTGTATTGAAGTCCCCATACTTTGCAGATTTGACTCGATAAAACCTGCCAGGCAGTATTATCTTTTTTCAACATCCACAATATTAAGGGAAGAAAAAAAAAGCATGCCCAGAAATTCCTATTTGCCTTTCTCACTATTCATCAAGGGACAGATGATTAATGTCCACAGCCACAAAGGAAGAAGGCTTTCAGGTCAAAAGGATAAGAAGCAGAGGGTGGAGATGAGCTTAAGGTGTGTGGTTCAGGGTGGGGGCCTGCTGGGCGAACTCAGAAGCAGGACTGGGTTTGGGGTGGCCCTGGTTACTAGGGCAATCAACACCCAATGTGCTAGAAATGGGGGCATGTCTTGGAGCAGGCTTTGTCCCCTGAGAAACTGGCAAACCACGCACGTGCAGCCATTCACCATCACAAGTGGACTGGAAGCAGAGATAACTTCGTATCCCTTGGTTGCATCGTTTGTTTCCAGAGTTATAAAGAGAGGCTGGTTTCCCAAAGGGCTCCCTGGGATCTAGAATTGGTGGGGTGGGAGGCAGTCAGGGTGGAAGCATGGACTACCGTATCTTGAGCTCTTTGCATAAGTTCTGGAAGGAGGCAGCCCCCACCACCTCCTTATCTAAAGCAGTGCCCACCAGGTTTAACACAGCAAGGATGTTAACTCAGAGTTCTGCTTACAGGGTTTAAAAGAACAAGTTCTCCAGTCTCAGTGGGAAAGATAAGCATCCCACTTCGCAGGATGCAATGAGGCGACACCGTCTGCCCTCAGTCAACATGGAATGGATAAATCCTTATTCCTTTTAACCTGGGCGGAGAGCATCCCTGCCATACCCCCTACCCCCCATCTCTAACACACCAGAACATCCAGCTTGCACTAAATGACTTGGTACTCTTTTCAGTAAGGTTCCAACATTGTTCAATTTCCTATATCAATGATGACACTCCGGTTTGACTCAGAAAACCCAATGCAATAACAGCCTACACGGAAGTGCCTACTTGCCATGAAAACTGAACCCTAGATCCCCCCATCCAGGATTACAGAATTTGTAAAATTCTTAAACTTCACGGACTCCACCCATCCTTCCTCCGCCTTGTAAATCCCCCTACCTCCAAAGCATGCGTTCCTGAGCCTGAATAAATGGAGGAGCACGAAGGGGTAATTTATTGCCAAAGAAGCAAGGGTGAACCGGACTTGGGAGAGAGGTACTGTGAGCGGTGGTGATGCAGAGAGCAAAGAGGACAGGGAAGCATGCCCAGAGGGGCGAGGCCCAGGGAGTGGGGCGCCGGGGGAGGGGGCGCGGCGCTCACCTGTGGATGTTCATCTCCCGCGGAGGGCGGTGGGCCTTGTCGTAGGAGACCTTGGCGAAGACGCCGGCCACAATGACGAAGGCGATCACCCCGCAGGTGATGTAGACGGTGAAGTTGGTCTTGTCCTTCTCCGGGTCGTACTTGTTCTCGGGCCCCGGCGACACCACCTTGGTGCTAGGCGTCTGCACCCACACCGGGCTCTGGTAGTTGGTGCACTGGCGCTGGTCCAGCTTCTCGTGGCGCTTCTTGCAGCAGAAGCGGTAGTAGCAGGTGCCGCAGCAGTACAGGTAGCCGCTCTCGCTGTTGTTGCACTCGAACTCCTTGTCGTACTGGCCGCTCACGTCGTAGTAGCCCCAGCACGTCTCGTAGGTGACGGCCGCGCTGGCCGCCGCCACCGCCGCCGCGGGCTGCCCCCGCCGGCTCCCCGCCTCCGGGACGCCGGGCGCCCGGGCGGTGCCGTTCAGCTCGCGGCCGCCCCGGGCCAGGGCGCCCCCGAGCCGCCGGCCCCCGACGGCAGCGGCGCCGGCGCTCAGGGTCCGATTGGCGGCGCGGCCGCGGGCGCCCTGGGCGCCGGGCGTCAGGTCCAGGGACTCCAGCGAGAGCATGAGCAGCAGGAGGAGGCACCGCAGCGCCATGGCGGGGCCGGGCGGGCGCGGGGAGGTTCGGCGGCAGGCCGCTGCCCCGGCCGGCCGGACTCCGAGGGCGGCCGCGCGGGCCGGGCTGGCGGCACGGGGCGGTCAGCGGCGCCGGGGCGATGGCGCCATCGAGGAGCGGGCGGCGGCGGCGGCGGCGGCGCGCGGTGCGCACGGACCGGACCGGCGCGGGCTGCTCGGGCTCTCACGCCGCGCGCCGGCTCCGCGCTCCCCCTGCGGGCTCGGCGCGCCTCCGGGGCAGCCCCATCCCCCGCCGGCGGCGGCGGCCCGGCGCGCGGCTCGGCTCGGCTCAGGCGGGACCCGAAGCGCGGCTCCGGGCGGCAGCGGCGTGGTCCCGTCCGCGCGGGTCCTGCGGGACAAGACGAGGAGCCGGTCACGGGGTGGGGCGCCGGGGCTCCCGGAGGCGGGGGGCGAGCGGCGGGCGGGGAGGGAGCGCGCAGCCCCCGAGGAGCGAGGGTCGCGGCCCGGAGCAACGCGGAACCCGCTCCAAAGACGGGGCCCGCCGGCCCTGCCCGCCGGCCACCGAGGGCGCACCGGCCGCCCGGCCCCGCCGCGCGCTCCCGCCGCAGGCTGGCTCCCTGGGACGGAGCCGGCAGCGGCAGGGGTCGGCAGGCTAGCGGGGGGCGCGCGCGGCGGCCGGACCCCACTCACTCACCATGCCCGGCGGCGGCTGCAGAGGCGGCGGCGGCGGCGAGGCGGGAGCGCAGCGGCCGGAGCGAGCGAGCCGGGAACCGCCGGCTGGCCGCCTGCACGAGTGCCGGAGCGAGTGTGAGAGGGAGCGAGGGAGCCACACGCACTCACACACCCGCACACACGGGAGCGCCGCGAGCGGAGGGGCGGGGGAGGGGGGCCGCTCCCGGCCGCCCACGCTCACACGCCCGGGGGGAGGGGGGCTCCTCTTGGCTGCTCCCCGCTCGCGGCTCTTGAAGCTCCGCGTCACCAAAGCCCGGGACGCCGGTAGCCAGCGCAGCGAACTAGGCAGGCGAAGAGAGGGCGGGAGCGGGGCGGGAACGGCCCCTCTGGAGCCGGCCCGCGTCAGGGCCACCTCCGCGGCCTTTGCCCCGTCCGGCCCCCGCGTCGGGGCCCACCCTGCCGGAGTCCCGGGCGGAGCGCTGCCGGAGCGGGAGTTGGGGTATCTGCGAGCCTCTGCCTCTCCCTAGCGGCGACGCTCGCAGCGGAGGGAAGAGGTCAAACCCATTGCCGGAGGCTCCTAAACTGAGCCCAGGGGTCAGGAGGCCGACTGGTTATCGGGCCGACACTCTCCTCCCCTTGAGCACTCTCCTTCCCACCCGCCTCTGGTACGCACGCGGGGGGCGCCAGGCAAGCTCAGCGCTGGGTAGCACCTCTTTGTTTCCTCTTTAAGGGACTTCTTCCCCAGCATTGGGGCCGAGTTAGAAAAGCTGTCTGAGCCTCTAAGACTCAGCGTGGAAATCCCGCTGCTGTAGGTGATCGGGGCGAGGAGAGGTGGGGCACAGGCACTGGGGTGTTTCTGTGTGAATGCTGGTCGCGTCTGTGGGAAGGAAGCCTGGGTCTAACTTTCAAGGCCTTCAGGCCACCCCAAGCGGGAGTCGTAATCGTCACCTTTGGCGTGTGTCCCCGGAGGAGGTGGAGGAAACGAGAACAAAAAGCAGCAGCCACTGCCAGGATTCTGCCTTCATGTTCTGCCCTTTCGTGCAAGCCTCCGGCAGTTTAGGGTGAAGGCAGGGGGCCTGTTGTCGGTGTGTGAGCGGTAGTTATCCCCAGGGTTGTCCATTCAGTCTCACTCATGCATGACCCAAACCGAGGCTCTCTGCATGCTGGAAAGGCAGAGGACCTGTTCTTGGAACGGATATGGATGAATTGGAACTAGAACCCAGGTTCCAAGCACAAGAGGGAGATCCAGATCCTAAGAGGGAAGGTGCACAAATTCCCTGGGAACTCCCCACTTTCAACTACCTCTCCATTCCCTCTTCCTCTCCACATCCTCCCACCCTCTCAGCTTCATTGCGGCTGCCATTCTCTTCTTAATGATTCTGATCAACACACATTTATTTAGTGCATACTCTCTACTAGGCACTGTCGTAAGGGATGAGAGAAAAGATGGGTAAATTCGTTTCTTCAAGGAAGGGTGCTTGAAGATCGCTGTGGAGACAGATAAATGATTATTGTGTCTGTTTATGCCCTATAATAAAGGTGGGCACGAAGTGCTCTGAGAGCACCGATGCCAGGCTCCCAGAAAGGTGTGGGTCAAAGGCAGCTTTGTCCTTGAGGTAATGAGCAGAATCTTGAAGGATAATTAAGAGTTAACACAGCCTGTGAAGTGGATAGGACACTCTCAGCATAAAGAACATTGCTAGCAAAACCAGAAAGACATGAAGCATGAGGGTGTGTGAGCAGTGGATACAGCAGTTGAGCCTCAACTCTGCAGGAATCTTCCAAATAAAGGTGGCAGAAGGGCATGTATCCCCTGCCAAGGAACTTGAATTTATTCTACAGTTGATGGGGAACCATTGGTGGGTTTTACTCAAGGGGAAGACACTATTAGATTTACACATTCCCTAGATCTCTGTATCCAGTGAGTTGGGAACAGTGGCTGGGAAAGAGCAGTATGGAAGCTGTGCTGACAATCCAGGTAAAAGTTGATGACAGGGTGAAGTAGCTGACTGGTAGTTGGTGTACATAGTGGAAATCAGGACAGTATCAGTGATGGTCGTGTTGAAATGCCTTTAAGAGCTCTAATTGAAGCTGTTCAGCCCAAGGGTTTCAGGCTCAGGAGAGCAGATGAGAAAAATATACACATTTGAGAATTTTAACACAGGCATATATATTTGAGAATTGTAAGAATATAGTCTTTACCTCCATACCATTGCAGTGTTTAAGCCGTTTGCTTGCTCTCCTCTTCTCTGAGCTTACTCTACCCTTCGTTTTTCTGGAATTCCCTATGCTCTGTGTAGGAGCTTCAGAGCAATGGGTAGAAATATGTCTTCCTCATGTAGAAATGAGGACTCTATGTGATCAAGGGCACCAGGTTAGGGAAATTTCTTTGGTTCTCAGACAACGCTTCCCACACATGTTCTGAACCCCTGTGGTCATAGACGGTAGTGTCAACAAATTCACAGATCACGGTATCTCAGAGTTGACTAGGATCTTAGGGGTCACTTATTCCAACCCTTACTGTAATGCACAGCATTTCTTAACTGACATTTCCAACCCTTCCACTTTGCCCTTAGTAGTAAACCAGGCTGGTTGCCTACCAATATCCATCTCCCTGTTTTCTCCATATAGTTTCAATACCCAAATTGCTGCTGACAGTATGTAAGTGTCCTTCCTTTGTGGATTTGATTCATTAAAAAGTAACAGAGAAGAATCATATTTTCCAACACCTATACCAACTTCAGGCATACCACAGACTAGGAGAAAGGGACCCAAACCCTGATTCTAGAAGATAGATCCCAATTAACCAGAATAATCCCATTCTCCTTTCCAATGATTGGTAAAGAATGTGATCTGGTTCTGGCCAATACAAAGTGAGGGAACTTGGGAGATTCTGGGAGAGATATTTCATGCTCTTAAAAATAGTAGTAATTTCTCTACTTTCTTGAGTATTGTTTCTGTGGATGTTATGACCTTCTGGGAAGTGGGGGGAACCAGTTGTTTGCTGAAGTAGATACTCAGTTTGATGGTTATTAGCGCTCTTCACTAAATATCCGTGCCTTCCAGACATATGGAATTGCAACTCCTGGCCCATTTGTAAGTAGGAGAGAAAAATGCCTAAGTGTCACTGCTCAACAAATCATGAGCAGATACAATGTATGTTATTTGTGGCCCAGAGCATCTGCTCACTGCTTCAAGACACCCCAGACTTCTTTCTCATTTTCTTCCTGCATGGTGATCATCAATGTTCTTTGTGTTCCATGCCAGTGGCTCTGGCAGTCTGTGACAAGAATAAGGAGAACCCTACAGTTAATAAAAATATTGCCCTGCCATGGACATGTAGCATGAATTTAAAAATGCAATTTTTTTCTTAAAGCCACTGGAATAAGGACTGGGATTTCAGCATATCCTAGCCCATCCTGACTGATGCATTGAGGATGACAGATGGAAAAATGGAATATTCTTGAGCCATAATGGAAATATGCCCAGGGCTCTCCCAACTCTGGTCTTCCAGTAATGTAAGATAACCAAATTTCCTTTTGTGGAAGCCTCTTTCAGTCAGAGTTTCTCTTAGATGCAGCCAGAGGCATCCTAGTGGATATATCATGTACTTGCTGCCTCCATTCTGACTTTCTCTAGAGTTTCACCCTAGCTATGCAACTTTGTACTAATCATATTGTTACCATAGTATTTGGTTTCCTCCTCTATAAACTGGGGAGCTAAGTGAAGGGAGTGTTTCTAATAAGCCATCGCTATTGGCTCTTCCAAGTAGGAATTTTTACCATGGCCCCAAGTTTGAGCATGGCTTCATAGCCCTGCACCATCTGGTCTCCTGCTATCCTTCTAAAGTAATCTCCGACTACTTTCTCCTTATTCATTCCCTCCAGCCACACTGGTGTCCTTGCTGTGTTCCTCAAGGCCTTTGCATTTGCTGTCTGCCTGGAGCCCCTCTGAGCCCCACATGCGTGAAGGTTTTTCCTCACACCTTCCTAGGTTTCTGCTGAAGTATCACTTACTAAACGGGTTTCCCTGACCATCCTGATGAAGACAGCAATTCCATCTCACCACCCCCCTCTGCTTCTTCCTCCACCGTGACTACCTTCTCCTGGTCATGGTGCCTCATGGCACTTATCACTAAGTGATACACATTCATTGAGATATTTTTTAAATTACATTCTCACCTTCCACTATAATGCCTACTCTTGTTTGAGCTTTGTTGTCCATTCTGTTGACTGTTTTCCCAATGCCTAGAACAGTACTTGGTATTCAGTAGGCTGTACAGGACTTGGAAGGACTCATCTCCAGCTGTCAGCTCCTCCAGGGTCCACCACAGCTTCAGAAAGCTGCTCTTCTGGAGGCACAGGCATCCTTCCCTGGGTGGTCCACATGCAATGACTAATCACATTGAAGATATAAAGACCCAGTCATTTC